TTTGAACGCTTTTTACATAAAAAAATATTTAGTAGTTTTTATATCTGCCCCTGATGAAATTTTTTTCTAGATTCGCCACTGGTTTAACATCGATTTAATAATATTGATGCAAATCCATATTAATTTGTATCACTTAAAAAATTGACATATAAATATTGATTTACATTCCTTATTTAACCAACGTAATTACCAAATTTGGTTAGCAACATTTAAAAAAATGATTGTAAAATTTATGTCACTAAAAAATTGATGCTAACATATTTTTAATAAATCATTTGCTTACTTTTATAAGTCCAACATCGATAATTAAAGGTGGAGGTAAGAAAATTCTAGTCTTATAAATAACTAAACTCCCTCAATTATATATTGTTGTCAAAGTTCAACATTGACTTTGATTTTTGATAGCTTATTTAAAGGTAAATACATATTGCCTTAAGTAAAAAATTCATTTACGATTAGTTTTAAATTATAATCCAATTATAACATTTTCGAAATTAATTTTTATTTAATTAATACAAAAATATTTGGCATCAATTATTAAACCGATGTAAATATTATCAATTTTTTAAATCGATACAAATTAGCATCAATTAATATAAATGATGAAAATATTTGTATCGGTCTTTTTAATTGATGTTAATATTTGCATCACTATTTTCAGAGTCGCTTACATAAATGATGCAAATATATTTACATCATTTATAATTAATTTAAACAAACAAAATAAATGATGCTACACCTCTTTTTTTATAGTGACTCTTAAGTATATCCATTCCACTTGAATCTACTCCTATCATTAATAAGATATTTGTCCAATACTGGAGAAGAAGCTGAAGTGAGTACTAAATAGTACGATAATGATCTCATAAATTTTGTTTTTTATGATATAAACCGTTGAAGTTCTAGATCTATTATCGATAATCTTTTTAGTGTCCGAGACTCGTGGTTGATAACACCATAATTCTAATTTTTAACTTACTATTTTCGTTACTTTGTAAAATATTACAGATAGTCATCCAATGAAATGTC